TGTTCTCTATTTACTTCACAATAGCAAACTTTGGTGAACACACAGTGTTCAGCATGGCAGTATATCTGCACCGACAAAGCGATCATCTGCCGATTTGTGAATTGACTGTCTGCATGTGCTGATTATCAGACAGACTGAAAGACTGCCGCAAAGTGAGCAAGTCTCCCTATGATAGAAAAGTCAAATGGAAATGTGCAGAGAACTAGTGTTGAGCAGGGCAAATAAATAAATCAGCCAATGTGCTGAGTGATGCTATAATGGTCAAACAGATGCTCTGCAGAAGAGGATGCACAGATGAAGGATGACGTGCCTGCTGCTCCTTCAAGGGCGCATCTAGAATGGCAAATATGGTCAATTTAAAATAAACTAACTGCTAAAGTACAACATTGTGATTTATATACACAAGTTGAACTTGAAAATTTCTACTTTTTAAAGTGAAAAAAGGGTGTGCGAAAATTGCAATCAATAAATGAAATCTGCAAGAGGATTTATCTTTGGTCAACATTGATTTCTTTATACAAACTTTTTGATATATGCTACAATTGTTTTCTTTTAATTGCTTAGATGAGAACTCAACATATGTTTGTTTCATTTGTTTCCTAATGTTTTCATCCATTTCTAATTACAACCACAAATGTCAACTACTAAAATCTCAATAGTTTTTGCTTCAATAAAAAGGTCGTTTACAATGAAATGTTTGTTTTTTTATCCAATACAAAGTTCAAGGTAATTGCACTATTCCGTTTATTGCAAAATTGTTAACAAAACCGTGAAATTACACAAATGACAACACTGGCTAAAACAGAGCTAAGGATATTTAACAATACAATTGGCAAACTTATTCGATCTAAAAACCAATATATCTAGACAAGAATCAATTTAAAATATAATAAAAAAAAATTTATTTTGATGCAACAAATTACTGTTAAAAATATTAATTTAATTAATTTTAAAACTTTCAAAGTTAAAAAAACTAAAAACAATGTTTTTTGTGCATTTAATTTTTAAACAATTCATATTTTTACAAACCAGCATTTTATCTAATTGTATTTCCGGAATTTCATAACATAATTGAAATTAACTAGACAGTCAAACTCATTAAGAAATTCATTTGTTCTTGTTTTTGTAAAAAATAAAGAATGCACAAATCTAATAAGCAAAGTTTCCGTAGTGAAATTAATCTCTACAACTACTAAAATTCTGAAGCTTCTTTTTTTTATTATTTAAAAAAATTTAAAATTAGTATGCAACTCAGTAATTATTTCATTTGGGAAAAATGATCTTGGGTTATTATCGCGCTGAATACTGAGTTATTTTTTATTTGTTTAAAGGAAGAAATAACCACAACTGTTGACTAAATTGTACAACGACAGTGTGCCAGGTTTTAAAAAATGTCAGAAGATTGAATGGTTAGCTGAAAAGGGTAAAGTCCGTTTTATTGGTTTGTGATGCTAAAACGCTAACAAATTGATGGTTAATTTGCAGTAAGCTTGAAGTTCAAGCATTCACGCATTAAAGTATTTTAAATGCTAATTTTAAAGATAAAAATACAACACTCAGAAAGGTTAAATTAACAAAAACTGATAGGTAAACTTAGCAAAAAAATTTTCAGTATGCTTCATTTGTCGTTTTAGCTTAACAGCCACCCTTACCACTGTCAAGCAATGACACTCAATTGTTCTTTAACTTTAATTATCAAACGGCAACTTTTAATGGCTTCTATTTCATACCCAACACTGCAATCGATTTCCGCATGTATTACCAGCACCGTTAATGGCTCAGTGATGCATGCTGCTGATGGCACTATCAACTTTAACCCATTGACTTCCTCAGCACTGTCTAAACAGGCGATCTTTTTATTTAATAATTACCTAGTGCACTGTAGAATAAAGCATAGTAGAGAGTGGCAACAGCGAGTTCGATATCCTTTGAAATGCGCTCTTAAAAAAGAAGAAACAGCAGACACTGCTTCACCGAAAGAGTTCAGTGGCTGGTGCGGTACTACGGTAAAGTAAACAAACAGTACAGTGAGAAGAAGAGAAAAAGTAACCCAACGACTTTGTGACTTTAGCGTGGCGTTACGAAATCACCTCGATGGCGCCCTGGCGCTCGCGATACTGGGTAAGTCATTCGCCTGCTGCCCCCGTCGATATTGACCCCTCTTTCTCTATTTCACTCTGCTCAACAGCAAGTCAGGTTCACGAGGTTGCGAAGGTGCTAAACCACTTGTAACTTGTTGTCAAACTTGAATGAATCTAGTAGTGGTGATCCCTTGGAGTGCAGCCGTCGGTCGCACTTCATTGCAACACCGCTTTCTTACCGTCCAATGGACACTTAGACAGTTAGAGCAGAGTAGCTGGCCGCCATAAGGAATACTCAGCCATCACCTGCCACTGACGTTGTATCGTCTTCTACCTGACGGTCATATATAAACGTCGGCACAAAGGCCACCAGAAGGCAGAGCAGATGATCTGAGGACAGAGAGTGGACGGGAACGGAAGGGCAGAGTGAATGAGTAACTTATCGTTTATCAACACTTGCCTCCGTTGAGAAGCACCGCAGCTTACGCTGTGACTTTGTGTCCAAAGTTGACTCTCAAATATTGACATCCGCTTTAGAAAACCTATCGATCAGCAATCACTGGCACAGCATGCCAAGTCCACCTCCGCCATCAGCCATCGCACTACTCTACTATGCATTTACAGTGGTTCTCATCAGCTCGGCACTGGCTGTGCACTCTACTTCCTCCTTCCTCTTTGGGCCTTTGCCCTCTCTGTCAACACAGTCTCTAGTGAGCAGTGCCACGACTGGGCTCACCTGTAGAGGCAATGGCGCCAAACTGGAGCACCTCACCGGGGAGTGCATGTCCCAGTTTGAGTGCGTCCAGCAGAGTGGCCTGTCTCTTGGTCCCTGTTCAATGCATCATGCTCTAGGCAGTTGCTGTCTGCTCAAGAGTACTACAGTACAGAGCAAACAGTCCTGGCGTGATCAAACGGTAATAATGCCCTATTCAACTAGATTGTTTTTAGTTTGCCATTGTTTTCTTTATAAACTCACTAACTTTTTCATTTGTTTTGTTTTTCTTAATTAGAATCCACCGACTCAAACAAAGCCCAGTGCAATGACCGCCACACTGACCACCTTGCCGCAGTTTTTCACGACCCTGCCAGTCCAACTGTCTGGTTCTATTTTAAGCAAAACAAAGCAAAGCACAATGATGAGCGATACAGACTCGACTTTTTATGAGGTGATCACGGCCAATAATCGAAAAACGACCACTGGAAGACCGAAAACACTTCTACCTGTTACCGAGCAATTCAGTTCAGACGCCACATCGACCACAGCTGCCAGGCCAAACTCTACCAAGTCAGACAAACTAGTTGACTTGAACTCTTCACCAGCTCTCTGGCCGCAATACGATCCCAGCACCAATGGCTGGTTTCAACCGGCTCCAATTTCCAGCAGTGGAAATCCGTCCATTCCAAACATTCACGTAGAGGACATTTTCTCGAATCACTTCCCCGGACTGCCGGGAAGCATCAGTCTGCAGCCGAGCAGTACTGCCTCATCAGCGGTGAATCACTTTCCTACGCTGGGCCCACCACCGGTGCTGCCTTCAGTGCCCTCCACCACGGCCTCTCCCCAAGACATTGCCCACACTGGTCGGTACACATGCGGCGTACGGCCACTTCGTCCCACAGGGAGGGTGGTCGGTGGGAGAAATGCCGCCTTTGGAGAGTGGCCCTGGCAGGTGCTCATCAAGGAGTCAGGCTGGCTGGGACTGTTCATGAAGCCAAAGTGCGGCGGAGTTCTCATTGATGATCGCTGGGTTTGTGCCACAACAACGCCTTTTCATTTTCATTGTACATCATTTCATTTGTTTAGATTCTCACGGCTGCCCACTGTCAGCCAGGCGTCATGGGCTCACTGATCGTCATGCTGGGCCAGAATGACATGAACGGCGATCTCCAACAGTTTAAACCAGTGGTGAAAATGGTTCGACGAATGATCGTCCACCGAGACTACAACCCGGAAACATTCGACAATGACATTGCTCTTCTCGAGCTGGAGACGCCCTTTGAGATGAAGCCACATGTTGTGCCCATCTGTTTGCCAGAGCAGGACTACCATCTTGTTGGGGAATTTGCGCACATTGCCGGTTTCGGAAAACTAAACTACGGTAAGCTTTTTGAACGGCCTCTACAGTGGAGTTCACATCAGGCACTGGTCACGCACAGAGGCAGCACACGCAATGAACGGGGCTAAATGAACTCTTTGTGAACATGTTCTTAAGTTCACGGTTTACGGCTCTGTTCATGTAACCCTGATGTAGCGACTGCTGTTGTAGATGGCTGACTGCTAACCAAACACCTCCCTCCCTCGCCTCCTCTAACCGCAGGCTTTCTCTCACGGATAACAGGAGGCCAAATGCCGAGCACCCTCCAGACGGTCAAGTTGCCCATCATAGCCAACGCTCAATGCCAAAAGATGTTTGCCGACGCCGGCCACTTCAAGTTCATCCGTGATAG